ACTATTACAAGTTAACACACCGAAGTACAAACTGGATTTGTGGGGTACCTGTTTCTAAACTGAGTTGGCTGTGTAAAGTCCGTGGGAACACTACTTTAGTTGCTGGGAGAATTGTTTTTGATGTGTTTTTGTTGGATTACTTTAGTGTTTAGGTTTTTCATTCGGTTTTGGCGTGCTTTTGATCTCAGGGTCCGAGGTTCGAATCCCACCACCCAACTTCGGTGGCTCAATAACACACCTAACCTAGTGGGAGTCTACGTGCTTCGCCACTCCAAATTCCGTTGCTTACTTTCCAGTTTCCACGAATGAACAGCAGGTCCCGTCTGTCCATCACCGAATGATGAGCGGAGTCAAGGGGGCATTAAGAAAATTGGGGTTGTATACAAACCGTATCATAAGTACTTCTGCTTTGTCTCAGGCTTAGGGAACCAGTTCGTAATGAAGTTTGCTATGAGGAGACAGTTAGAGGCACGGAGGTTGCGGGACACTACTTTGAGAGGTAACAAAAACATTCGTTATCGGATCTGAAGCAGACCAGTTGTCCTACCAAAGAAATGTTTGTTTGTATTTGTATGGTTAACGAAAATTTCTCGGGTTACCTTTTGTGGTGCTGTCAATGCATTTTTTGTTTGAGTATATCATTTCGGTAATTGCGCATATTAAACACTTGATTTTCCTGTCATTTTGCCATACAGCCGCTTTCGTCAATTTTGGCACAAGTTGAAGCGTGCATTGATGCGGACGATCCATTGGGTTTGCGTTCCGGCTTACTATTGTTCCTTCAACTTATCCAATTAAATGCAAACGACAATCAATTTTATGAAAATTTTCTTCTGTCCCAGCTCGTTCCGTTCTGTGTGGTAGCACCCACTCGACCCAATTTCCGACTTACAGACGCACAATTCGGCCTTGCTCTAAACGAAGTTGGCAATTGTTTGTTCGTTTTAGCTCAGAAACAGGTATGTTTTATTGATTTGGGGAGTAAATTTTCCTGTCATATCAGTTGAAATCTCACTTCATTTTTCATCTCCGTCCTTCCCCAATTCTTGCGTTCATTCTCGAATGATATATTAAGTTAACGTGCCTTAGTAAATGCGCTTAAACTGTGAACCAAAGTCAAGTTTTTCTATTCTCATATATCTTAGTGATTAACAGCATTCGAGGCGAACCTCATTGCCACGAAAAACTGCTATTCATTGATGGGAACCAGTTACCTAGGCTCCATGGACTTCGAGTGGCGAACCACACAAGGTCCCACTAGGTTAGGCGTGGTATTAAACCAGACGAAAGCATATCTATCTACCACTAAAGTTGGGTAGCGGTGGTGGGGCTCGAACCGCGGACCATGAGGTCCAAACCATGCGGATGACAGTGACTAGACTACTGCACGTAGAACGTACTCGATTCTTGTGNCTTGTGCACAGTTTATTCACGAAACAGTTTCCTTTGATTTTTGAACTAACCTGTTTTTAGTCATTTGATTATGAATACAATGTTTCTATAGTAAGTAGGATATGCAAATGAAGTTTTCGTCGTCCAATGTATGCTGTATACGCATGATGTATACGTAAATCATTGTGGTCTAATTTATCCTCCGTGACTTGTTTCAGTCAAGCTTTATTGACATCCGCACTCTTTCAGCCCGGTTTGTGCTCATTTCTGCAAAACGTATTCCTACCTGGACAACAGCTGTCAAATGATTTGATACAATCGTATGTTGGCACTCTTAAAGCTCACAATGTGAAAGACTTTTGTACATTTTTGAGGGTGAGTCATTCGTTTATGTTGGTCTGCTTTGTGGTTAAACTTAATCTTATGACTACTTAAGCTGTCAGATATCCTTTGGTTAATGTAGTGCATTCGGGAGCAAAGCCGCAACTGATTAAAGGTTTCCACGCAACAACTGAGAGGATATGGTGATATATATATATATATATTCAGCACTATCAGACTGCACCTTGACGCGGTGCGGTGGCTTGTGCACCTCTGATCCAACAAGTCATCATCATTGTACAGCGCAATACAGTGAAGCGTAATACTGGAAGCTGCCAAACTCCTAATGCATACAAGGTAAGTGAGAATGTGTTAAGAGGATAGCGACTGGGCCTATTTCGAGGACGGGAAGAGAAAGCGAACCTCTATGGTCAGCACACAGAGTACACAACCCAACTGTGCATAGATACAATTTCAAGCATTCTGGTTGATAAGAAGTGACAGCATGATCGCCATTGCTGTCGGTTCGCAGCCATGACCTTCAGTGTCTCCAACCATGCGGTTTCGGAGTCTTTTGGACCCCAAACCGGAAGACGAGAGACCACTACTCTACCTAATCTTGCAGTATTACGCTTCACTGTTTTATGCTGTATATATGTATATTATGAAGAAAAAGGTTCATGATTTGCCTGCGGGCTCGAGGCTGCTGGGTCGCCCAGGCCAAGGCAGGTGGATTTTCACTGGGGTGTTCAGTACCGGAGCCTGTGACTAACCAAAGTCCGAACCGCAAGGCAGCGGGGCGGTGTATGAGGACCGTAATCCATTGGGAGCCGCTGTCCAGGTCCTCGGATCATACACCCTTTGGACGAGGCTAGACACCCAATGTACCAAATACACCTCGGTACTCAACCGATCCGGTGGTTTTAGAGGTTAAACGAGTAGTTATCAGTAATGCGTAGTATTTAAGCCTCACATTTACGACGATCCATTTTAAATTGTCCTGTATTTAGTATTCATATTCTGAGATTCTGTTCGATTCTTGAAATATTTCGATATTCAGTTGATAGAATCGCTCACGTGAAGTTCACTAAGTGGTGGAAATTGTACTTCTACTATGTTAGATCACTGTTTTCATTCAGTTTGGTTCGTCACATGACAGTTGAGCACCGTAAAAATATTTGCTTTCTCTTTCCAGAATTTCTATGCTGCCTTTCGGTGACAATAGCTTTGATGGCCAATTTGTTATGGAACACTTTACACCTACCAATTATCTTTCATCTCCCGACTACCCTGTACATAGTACCCACTTTGCAAATGCCTTCCCTATTGTTTTGTTGCCAACTACTGACAGTCGATTTCTCGGCACTCATGTACAGAATCACCTCGGCCAGTTGACTGATGTGGTCCATCTTGTCATTAACACTGCCACCCGGATGAATTAGCGCGCTCTGCTTCTATGCCGATGAGTTCCAAAATAATCAGTGGTTCCTTCATCTATAAAGTTCAAATTCATTTGGATAGTTATGTCGTTTTCCCCGGAAATCAGTATGTTGGTTTCCACCTTGCATCCACATGTGCCTAGTGCACTTGAATATCCATGAAACAAATCTGTGATTTCTAGCTTTTGAACCTCCTAAACTCCCAAATAATGTGTCTTGATCCGGTTGTGTTTGCTTTTCAGTTTATTGGCCAACTCCGATGCATTCAGTGCTTGCTCGTTTTGTGAAGTGGTCTACTAAATGCATCTCTATTCTCCAAATAAACGAACAGCTGATGGTCTCATTTGTATGTGTAAAGTAATTTATCGTTTTCGTGAAACCACTAGGGTCTTTGTGACAGTGCAGATTCTTTGGAAGCTGGGGATGCAAAAACAAGCACACGTTTCGTATCAAGACCGGAATACTGATATCGCAATAGTGACTCGCATTTTCCCGTAGTTCAGAGAATACTCGGGCACTCTGATTTTGTGCCAAATCTGAAGAATTTTATGCAGCTGTACTGCTTCCCAACTCAACTATTTACTGAGTGGTTGCTATTCAGGCTGTATCGGCAATTACACTTGATTTGGCACCCGCCCAATTACTTGATGGCCCCAAACTACTCACTCTATTTTAATCCCGTAAATGTGCGTCAACTCATCTTTATTTCATATTTCGTGATGGAAGTTGTCATTTTTCCATTTAAAATAGTCCATGCAGTAGACTTCAGCCCTCTATTCTTCAACTCAGCGTAAATGGATTCCGTTTCAATTGGAAACGGTTGTTGACGCTCAGCGTCGGCTACCGCTTGGTTAAAAATAAATCGCTGGCCTGCCTATGGTCCGCTGTAAAATCGAAACCCTTCGGTCGGCCTTTGGCAAAATGATGAGGTCCCAAGAGGAGCACGTAACTTGAAGAACCACCTGTTCTCTGTCACTTCGAATGTCCTGGGTCGCTGTTCAACCATACATTCGCGCCCTGCATTTCGCTCTAGGATCTGTTAAAGCTACAGTTGCATCTTCGAGGGTGCAACTGTAGAGCTGCTCCATTCATTACCGTGTGCGCTGCCGGGAATTGCGATGTGGTGTTTCAAATGATCTGCTATATTTATGCTACGTTAGTGATATCCTAACTGTAATCTGCACTAAACAACTTACGTCGACCGAGCACTGTCTTGTGCAATTATAACAGGAGTATTACAGCAGGTGCACCGTGGACGTCGGCTTCGGACCATTTCGTCGTTGTTTCGAGTCAGATGTTTTTCGTCGTTGGAAACCTAGTGCGTCCTATACCAGCCAATTTTGAGCTTAATTTTCAATCCTCGTCCACCTCTCGGCTCGTTCAAGCAAAATAAGTTTGATAATTTGACGTCAGCATAACTGGGCAATATAACAAAGGTGGTCAAGGACAATTAGTTTTCGTACGTCATCTGCTCTGTGTTTCATATTCCCAATGAACTACCCTCAACTTCGCTACTGAAACGATGAGAACCAAACTTTTGGCTTTGCGTAGAAATTCATCCCCTCGAGAACAACATACATCCACAGACTGACTTCCTTGGAAAACTGTTACATCACGGAACTGTTTGCAAATTGATCCCGCGAACTAGCGTTCGGTTGCACTTATTCCATTTCTGTCGAAACTAGTGAACTCAGGTGGCACTGATTTCCTGATGAACTATTTCGAAAACCATCGGCAGCTGAACACGGTTCGAGGAAGACGATCATGCACAAAACGTCTGTTACACGAGAACAAGAACAGTCGGCGTCAATAAGCAAATGGAAGTCTATTTCGACCTCTCGAGTGAGCCACCAAATACTGCTGCAGGTTCCTAGATTGAATTGGCACTTTTTTCGATAGCCTCCCACTTCAATTCAGGTTAGTGATTACTACCTAGGTCGATTGATGCAATTCACGAGATTCCGCCGGTATAGGACCTTGGTTCCCATTTCCTAATTGGCTGGCATTATTGGGGAGGATGCCAAAACAGGGACAATAAAACGGTCTGAACACCATGTCGTTACAACACAATAAATGTGACTGGTAACAAGGATTTACAAGGGCAAAAAGGAAAGTGTGTACTCAGAAACAATTTGTGCAAGCTCCCCTGGCCAGATTACCAGCAAGTGACCCCGCATGAAGCATCGGAGCAAGTGGTAATTGGGTACAAACTGTTTGTGTGCTCTCATATGCTCCGTGGAGCTGTTTAAACATTTAAAACAAGCCAAAGACCATATCGTACTAACGGTCTGAAGATCACACACATGAAAAACTCGGTTTATCATTAGTGATATCGAATTCAAAGTTGAATGATGTAATTTTCTATCAATAAACCACAAGGGTGGCTTTACAAACGTGCTTGGAAATCAATCATGCGCTTCAAACGAGTTGGATTTAAGAGCTACCGTTGGGGAGGATTTGGAGTGTTCCATACATTCCGTTAGAATATTCTTAATGGTTCTGAAGCAAATTGAATTAACCAGGCGACTTTTTAACCGTTTGAAACAGCCGTATCCCCCATTCGCTATGAGTCCGCGTTTCACAGCACCGAGCACCCCATCCAAAAAGCGATCGAACGTTCGTAGGGAATAGCGAGCAAAATGGTTTAAGGGTTGCATCTCAAGACCGGTGCTGAAATGCTGCAAACACTCGTTCTCTAATCATAAAGACAGCTCAATTGGGTGTCTATGATTATCGTACGTCAAAAACTCAATCAACATGATCGTACGTGTAGTTCTCTACCGACACTATTCAGAAATAATCACTTAAGTGGAGGTCCTTTTAAATTGGTGCTCCAAATAAGTTGGTGTTTGCAGTACTTTGGACTCTTCAACCGCAAGTTGTTTGTGCACCCATCGCTCAATGTTTGGCCCGGTTAGGCATTGGAATACCCAACTATCCGACAACCGTGAGTAAATGAGCTTACTTATTATTTCATAACTTTGTTCGCACTACCATCCGAACCTCAAGGGTAAGAATCACATGACGTTTAATAAGCTCTAGCTTTGTACTTTATCGTTCGAGAAAATTGAATTTTGAATTCCTGAAGAATATTTAAATCTAACTAGCCCGATGGTCCTCCAGGTGGGGGGTTCGAATTGAGTCGGCGTCTCAGTCGATGAAACGTGTTGGAGGAATAATTGATCCAAGCTAATGGGCCTCCAGTCCCTCTTAACCGCTGCCTTGCGCTTAGGTTTTTGTCAAAACTAAAAGCTTTGGTTGAGAAACCCTAATCGTTCTCCTTCTTAGTGGCTGGACACCCTGGCAGTACCCTTCCATAAAGTTCCAATGAACACAAACAAAAAATCTCATACTGTATCAGTAGTCGCGCAGCACGATCAGGACCGAGCTGCTCATTGCATCGACCGGAGTGGGTAATGATAAGTGGGCTACTGCTCAGATACCCCATGCTTTGTTTGACTTCCGTTTGTCTTCCATATCCAACTCTATCCCTTTACCCCTTCTTCCAACCCGTGATATTCCCTCAGACAACTTGATCGTCACTCGCCAACGGTCTTTGTCAAACAGCACTGTAACTAGTGCAGATTCTGAAGCCTCGTCAACCTCTCAATCTGGGAGCTTTTAACGTGAGGACTCTTATGCAGGTGGGCGAACAGGCTTGTCTTGCGCGTACAATACAGTCTCTAGAAATCGATGTCTGTTGCGTATCGGAGACACGAATTCAGGATCCTAGTATTGTAAGCCACCTGAGTGCGCCGGGTCTGTCCTCGAGGTATTTCGTTCGCACATCAGGAGATGATGCAGTCCACTCACTGGGTCAGCGTGGTGTAGGTATCGTACTAAACG